TCCACACTGGATAAAAAGTTGACTTAAACTGTCCCAAGGTACCTTTCACTTCCAAACATTTGCCTTTCCCCACCTCCAATCATAAAAATATGAAAGTCTCATTCAGAGACCCACTTGTCCTGTGGAGCGGCCAGATTTGCCATCTGAGCGTCAGAAATGCCTCGGACAAATCTTTCCTCAGGCAAGGAAATAGACAAATCAGGGTTTGGGCTTAGGATCCTCTTCCTGGTTCTTCTCAGGCAGGAGGCTTGAGGAGCCGACAGTTTTACAAATAAGACTAAAGCTTGCTGTGGTAGGAGATCACTGGTTTGGGGTCCTGATGCTTGATTTATGTCATTGAAGACTCTACATGTTTTCTTAGTCATTAAACCCTGTTTACCAGACCAAGTCTAAAATCTTGGTGGAGTTTGGATCCCTGGTGGATTCAATGGGATGAATGCCTCAGAAATCACTCAGGTGAGAATCATCTCATTACAATCTCATATGCACACTATGGCATTAATGACTCTTTCTCTCTTTGTCAGATGCTAAGTGCAAAAAAAAAAAAAAAAAAAAAAGAAAAAAGAACGAACCCAAAAACATTCCTTTGAATATGTTTCTTGTTTTCAAAAATACCATCTTTCCCACCAACTAAGGCTTTTACTTATATTTTTCTGGAGTGATGGCAGAGAAAATCAACTGTAAGAACTTTGCCACTGAACAATTAACTAATCATGTATCCACTTCCAATTGGGCTTATTTATTGAGCTTCAGAACTTAGGTGGGACACTTGGAGAAAGTGGGAACAGACTTTGTGCTAAGCTCAAAATAGACACTTGTTTAACCCTTGTAAGAAAAATAGAGAAGAAGGAGGAGCAGGGGAAGGAAGTAGAGGAGAAAAGAAGATAAAGGAGGAGGAAAGAAGATTCTTGTTCTCTAAGATCTCACACCTCAACCAGGTTGGCAAGCCCAATGCCCACAGTATGACCAAAGAATTGAAGGCAGTTAGTAATGTGTTGTTGTGCCAGGTGACCCCAGAGGAGAGGTCTATGTAAGCACTGAAAAATGAGATGCCAGGATTGGCCAAAAGGACTGGGAGAGGTTCTTTAGGAAGAAGAAATTTATTCTTTCTTAAACCTCTCTTTTAATGGTGAAGACATATAGAGAGGTCTGGCAACCTGTCCTGAGCCATTTAGCCACAGGGGCAGAGCAGTGACCAGGACACCAGGGCAGCTATGCTAAATCCAGTGCGTCTTCCACAAGGCAGCAGTGACCTGCTTCTTCCTCCCTCCTTCTGTCCCTCCCTCCCTTCCTTCTTCCATCCTCCTTTCTTTCCTCTTCCCTTCCATTAGTTGTTCAAGAAATATTCTGATTAGCAGAGTTGTCAAGTCCTCTCTGCACAGACTAACACTGTTTAAGGCATGGAGGAGGTGTTGAGATGCTTGGTGGGTCAGAGCTTAGACTTTGGAGAGCTCTAGGCTTCAGTTCAAATTGTTGTTCACAGGTAGCAGCAATTAGCTGTGTGTCCAGGCCTAGTTTTTCAACTCCATTAATCTGAGGGATTCTCCTCCATATGGTGGGATAATTATAATACCTACTTTGAAGGATTTTGTGAAGATCAAAATGAAGTAATTAATATAAAGCAAAAAAAAAAAAAAAAAAAAAAAGAACGAGGCATACTGTAAGCTCTCAGGAAAGAGTCACTACTATTATTAGTTTTGCTATCAGAAAATACCCAACAAAACAAAACTGGCTCAACATATCTTTATCTTTTATGTTTCAGAGAACATACTGGGATCATCCTGAGGAGCTTCAGTTATCACTGTTTGAAAGAAGTTCAGAGGGACTGGGAAATCAAAATTTCTGCCCTTAAGAAACAACACAATGGCACAGAAAATTAAGCTTAAAAACTTGTTACAAAATGCTAAGTAGAGGAGAATGAAAGAAAAGCAAAAGCAGAGAGACCGAATCACAGGCTCAGGTGTCTTATCAAGGACAGAATGATGTCTAAGGTCTGGAAGAATCGGTGACCTCAAAGGTTCTGCAGTGCCCATATTGCAGAAATGGTGCTTTGAGAGAAGGCCTCTGTCTGGGACATGAGATGAGGCATCTCCAAATGAAGTTTTCAGGCCCAGCCCCCATCTCCCCTCATCTTTTGCTGGTGATATAGATGCATCATGGACATCAGAAATCTTGATTCTCTAGGAATTCTTCCTCTTCTTCTTCTTCTTCTTCTTCTTTTTTTTTTTTTTTTGGTGGAGTCTCGCTCTGTTGCCCAGGCTGGCTTGCAGTGGCATGATCTCAGCTCACCTCCGCCTCCCGGGTTCAAGTGATTCTCCTGCCTCAGTCTGCCGAGTAGCTGGGATTACAGGGGCCCACCACCATGCCTGACTAACGTTTCTATTTTTCGTAGTAGAGATGGGGCTTCGCCTGTTGGCCAGGCTGGTCTTGAACTTCTGACCTCGTGATCCACCCCCTTGGCCTCCCATAGAGCTGGGATTACAGGCATGAGCCACCACACCCAGCCCTTAGGATTTCTTTTTAAATGTTTCTCTGTAAGGCCCAGAATCTTTTTCTGCTCTACAAAGTCATTCTACATTAATATCAAAATCAAAGAGAACCTTGCCATTCTAAGACCTCAGGATCCTTCTTTCTGTGCCTTGACAACCTCCAATCTTATTTTAAAACTAAGGGAGAATTTGGCACTTTGCTTTACAGTTTTGAACCTTCCTGCTCTTCTAATGGGCTCTTTCTTTCCCTCACAGACAGGGCTGCTCTTGCCTTGCTCATGGGGAAAGACCAAATCGCTTTCTTTGTTTTCTCCCCGGGGCAAACAGCATCCTGCCCCGTCCACCTGTTCTCTCCCTGTGGCCCCTAAGGTCTCAGAGTTTGGTGTCTTGTATACGTTGCCTTAGAGAACAAAAGACACACTTTATTGAAATGTCATATGTCAGCCGCGTCCTTCGATTCTATTAAAACCCTTTCTTTCTTTCCTCTTTCTTTTTTTTTTTTTTCTTTTTGAAAACATTATGGGGGAGAAAGGAGAGAAAAGGATTGGGGAGAGCAGCCCACAAAAAAAAAAAAACCCAGCAAACCCGAGCCCCACTTTGGGGAGTTGAAACATCTGCACTTTCTCAGCAGTTTGAAAGGAAACAAAAAATTGCCAAGTGGTATAAAATTTGAAGAAAAATTACCCAAAGGAGGAATGGACGTTAACCACGCTTCAATTCCCCACTATGGGTTGACATTTGAAGTACTTTCTTCTCCCCTCTTTCTTTCTGATTCACAGTGTGTCTAAAGAGGTGAATTGGGCACACAAAACCCAACCTCCTCTTGCCAGGGTGGGTATGAAATATGAAAGCTAGACGATTGTCTGGGCTCAGTGCATTGGAATAACATTGGTTAAATTATGGATAGTTTTTGAATAGTGTCACTTTTTTTTTCTCTGCAGATGGTTGTTCACACAAGGAGCCGGGTCTGCATAATTGTATCACTAATCAGCAGTAAGGCAATTAGTTGTGTAAGTGTGCTATAATCATTCTAACAGAAGAGATGACGAAAAGACAAAAAAAAGGAGGGGGGGGACCAAAATGTCTTTTCTGAATCCATCAACTGACAGCCATAATTAGATATATATAATTGAAAATTCCACAGTAGGGGGGCCAGCTTGTACAAATGAATTTTCTCTGCTGCCCTTATGCATTTTTGTCTGTGGTTGAGTATCCCCCTTAGGAAAAGGCAGAAAACTCGTCATTCCAAAAGAGTGTGTACTGTACTGGGTATTCTTTCAGGCCAATGATGTCAGAATAACAATTTTTTTTTTGGTGTGGGGGTGGGCATGGGCTGCGGGACCTGGAGGTTAGTCTGCTGTGAAGACCAGGGCTTCACGCAAGCTGATATGAAACGCCTTGCTGTGTCGTCGTTACTGTTATTTTGAACCCATCCTTCACTGGCCTCATGGCCTTCTTTTGGCTCATAAAGGGACATTCCAGGCAGGGCCAACTTATCCACTGGGCACAGGAGGCAGGATGTCTTAGGGACTACCATACTTCAAGGGGCCCACTAGAATGTTACCGTTTTAATTTCTTTTATTTTTTTTATTATTATTTTTTGAGACAAAGTATGGCTCTTGTACCCTAGGCTGGAGTGCAATGGTGCGATCTCGGCTCACTGCAACCTCTGTCTCCCGGCTTCAAGCAATTCTCCTGCCTCAGCCTCCTGAGTAGCTGGGATTACAGGTGCCCACCACCATGCCCGGCTAATTTTTGTATTTTTAGTAGAGACGGGATTTCACCACGTTGGCCAGGCTGGTCTCGAACTCCTGACCTCAGGTGATCCGCCCACCTCAGCTTCCCAAAGTGTTGGGAATACAGGTGTGAGCCACTGCACCTGGCTTAATTTCTTTTAAAAGTCAAAATAAAATAACTATAATAAAAATAAATCTAGCCTGCATTATAGTCACCTTTATGCCAATGCACTTATAAAATATAATTTTTCATATATTTTTTACGGAGAATAGGGCCCAGGACAACAAAACTGCTATGGCCCATTAAAGTTCTAATAGAGTCTTGATTCTGGGCTAAGGTGTAGTCCTCTATGGAAGTGAGAAAAAGTGGGGTTTGAGTGAGCTCCCTCACAACAAAATATTTTATCCTCAGTTTTTATAGGAAAGAGGGGGCTTTATTTTACCAATGCCTGATGATCAAAACCTATAATTACATTTGGGTTAAAAATTCTTAAGTACCTATGAGTTTGTGGAAACTGCAGAAAAGCTTAGCACTGAATTAATCAGACTATAGGTCTCCCATCACACTAGAAATCTTCTTTTTAAATTGGAAGTGCATTCTCCCAACCTCTCTCTCTCTCCTTTTGAATCCACCAACTCTTCTATAATTTAATTGGACAAATCTTAACTGTGATTTTTTTCCCCTCCCAAAGAGGTGGCACGTTGCGGCCAAAGCTTGTTAATTAAGTTCTTTAAATGCCCCCAGCTGTGCAATAAGTTTTCAAAGCAACACAACTGCAAATTTATTTATTTATTTTTTTAACATTTGGCGGCTAGTTTTCAATCATGTATTATTCCCCCCTCCTTTTTTTTCAGGATGAGAAAAACAGGAATAATCTCTGGGAGAATTCCCATGCATTGTGGAATCTTGGACAGACAGTCAAACTGGAGGTGCTGTTAAGTGGTGTCTAATTGGAGCCTGTTGAAGGAGGGGAGTCACAAGGGACGATTCTTTGGGCTCACAGGCAGCTTGGGCATGCACACGCTTGCGAAGAAATAATTCAGAGAAGAACCCAGGAAAGCGAGCTCCCTACTAGGGCCTGAGGGCAGGGCTTCTTCCTACAGGCAGGTGGGGCTCTGGGGACAGTGGATGAGCCAGGTTCTTCAGAGAAAGCCCAGCAGACAGGATGGACACACAAGGTGCTTCCGGTGTCCCCTTGCCCCTAAATGTAGCCCATGTTCCTTGTCTTTACCACCTCAGCTTAACTGCTAAAGAGATGGGATTGAAATGGAAGGAAAAATGGAGACGTGAATTTGCAGTTATCTTTACCCTCTGCAAAGCACCATCTATGATGCTACCTCCTAGCTGCTACATTGAAAATGCTACAAAGGATCATTTTATTTAGGATCAATTTTAAAAGTTACAATGATGTCATTAATTTATGTTTCAGTTTTCCATATTTCAATCTCTTTTCAAGCACCTTATCATTCCCCTTGACATGGAGTGTGGACACGCGTTTTGCGCAGGCCAGTGGTATGTCTGCGAACATGATACGTGTCAAGCGGCAGTTTTAAAGAGACAACGCGCAATTTGCCACATTCTGTAATCCTCAGCAGACATGGTTCTGTTGATATGTGGACTTCTCTATCCTGGGTCCATGTGTTTTCACCATGCACAGAACTTCCCAGCAGGGTCTACCTCTAGAGCTATGCTGGACATGCAGCCTGAAGAAACAATAACCTTTTCCAAGTTAGACCAATGAGCTTTGAAGGTTGTTTGTTACTGCGGGGTAATTGTAGCCTGACTGATATAATTACTTAGAGTCTGTACTCAAAGGTGACTTGGGGGCCCGATAAGGCCTACAGAAATGTCTTGTTTGGCTCACCACGTGTTTTCTAAAAAAAAACAAAACAAAACAATAACAGCAAAAAAAAAAAAAAACACAAACACAAAAAAACTGGTTGCGCACATAAAAATCTGGCAACACCAGACTTGCATCTTCCTGCGTAGCCCCAGTCACCTGGAGCTCAGGGTAGCAGCCTCCAGCACTCTCCTCTGACACTAGGAGGCTGGTCACATAATCTGTAGGCCAAGATCTTTCCACAGCTGGAGAACTGGAGTGTGGGGTGTCTCTTCTCTTCGCTTCTCCAGGATGTTATGGAAAAGGCAATGGCCAGGATTCTTTGGCTTCATTTCCTAAGGAATGCTGCACGAGGTACTCATAGAAGTAACTGATTGTAGGTGCGAGTAGGGGCTGCGGATCTGAGATCTGGGTTTCTTGCACTCTTTACACATCTATGATATGGCAGTGTCCGTGGGTGGGACATAGCTTTGAGGGAGTTACAACCATTGGAATGGTCCCTTACCAATTTCACACTTATCACACTCAGTCACGGCAAAGAGAAGACACTACTGACACTTGTAAGTGCGGTGCACTAACGACCGACCTCCCCTCCTGGCCCCCTCCTCGCTCTCCTTCAAATACCCTCTACCTTTTTCCCCATGTGCATAGAAAGATTTGTAGCTGTTTATCTCTAAGCATGCCTTCTCCTGTATCTCTTGCATCCTCACCATCTTCTCCCCGTGATTCAAGATCTATTTGTTGCTTTGCTCTCATCCTCATGACGTCAAAAAAAAAAAAAGGACCTTCCTGGGTTTCATTGCCTGCTAGTCCCCAGAACCTCAGATGGAACAGTAAGTCAAAGGGAAGTCACAGATACTTGTCAAAACCTGAGTTAAAAATAAGTCACTGAGGCTGGGCACAGTGGATCACGCCTGTAATCCCAGCACTTTGGGAGGCTGAGGCGGGTGGATCACCTGAGGTCAGGAGTTCGAGACCAGCCTGGTCAACATGGTGAAACCCCATCTTTACTGAAAGTACAAAAATTAGCCGGGCATGGTGGTGGGCACCTGTAGTCCCAGCTACTCGGGAGGCTGAGACAGGAGAATCGCTTGAACCTGGGAGGTGGAGGTTGCAGTAAGCCGAGATCAAGCCATTGCACTCCAGCCTGGGTGACGAGACTCCGTCTCAAAAAAAAAAAAAAAAAAAAGAAAAAAGAAAAAAGAAAAAAAAGTCACTGAAACTTGGATGGAGCTGGACATCATTATTCTAAGTGAAGTAACTCAGGAATGAAAAACTAAATATCCTATGTTCTCACTTCTAAGTGAGAGTTAAGCTATGGGGACACAAAGGCATGAGTGATATAATAAATTTTGGGGACACGGGGAAGGTTGGGAGTAGGGTGAGGGATAAAAGATTACACACTGGGTACAGTATGTACTGCTCGGGTGATGGGCGCACCAAAATCTCAGGAATCACTACTAAAAAATGTATCCATGTAACAAAAACCCACTTGTATCCCCCAAAACTATTGAAATTAGAAATAATTTTTTTTTTTTGAGAAGGAGTCTCACTCTGTCGCCCAGGCTGGAGTGCAGTGGTGTAATCTCAGCTCACTGAAACCTCCGCCTCCCAGGTTCAGGTGATTCTCCTGTCTCAGCCTCCTGAGCAGCTGGGATTACAGGCGTGTCACCATGCCCAACTAATTTTTGTATTTTTGTTAGAGACGGGGTTTCACCATCTTGGCTAGGCTGGTCTCGAACTCCTGACCTTAAGCAATCCGCTTGCCTCTGCCTCCCAAAGTGCTGGGATTAAAGTCGTGAGTCACTGCACCCAACCAATAATATTTTAAAAAAGAAAAAAAAAATTGCAAAGGAAAATAAAGTTCAAACTTTACATAATTAAAAAAAAAATTTTTTTTAAGTAGCTGAGATAGAGTGTATCCACCATTGGATGAGGCCACAGAAAACGTGACCCGAGCTGCCCCATGTCCCGCACCTGGCTGCTAATATCTTCCCTGCCTTCGTTTTCTCTCCTGGGCAGCTTTCTCTCCCTTCTGAGTGCTGCCGGCACAAAGGATCTTCCTCGCTCAGCATCCTCATCTGTTTCCAAGATGTGGCACAAGCTCTGAGCAAAATTGTAAAACAGAATAAGATTTTCTTCTCCAAAGTCCCTAGCTGGGGCATCTCCTTTGCCTCACTACGATGCTCCTTACCCGTGGTTCCTGAGTTTTTTTCTTCTCGACACCCCAGCTGACACTAAAGCTTGCTCTCAGTATAAATTTATCTCATTTAGGCAAATTGTGTCCCCGTATGACCTCTCTCAGAGCTGCTGGCCTTTTAAGTCCTCCTAAAGTTTCCATCCCTGTTAAAGCTTATTTACCATTACACTCAGGACACAGACTTATTTTCACAGCAGAGCTCCTTCCCAGGAACTGGAAGTGACACCTGGTTAGTGGAAGCTGGTTTCACCTTTGGAGAATGGCATCCTTATTTTCTGGGATGCTGGCTCCCTTTCATCTCCCTGGGATGGCCCCCTTCCCCCACAACCCAAGCATGACTGCTCCTGAGCTCTGGACCTGGTCCTGCTTTTGAGCTCATTCTCTGTCTCTTCCCTTTGGCTGTCTCCTTTCAAGCCATCCTGCAAACTGATACACAGATACATAGAACCATCTTGCAAACTGCCCCGCTGAGCAATTCCAGGACTGACTCCCTGTGACTGGCAGCCTGGGAGAGTGGTTAAGAGCACAGGCTCTGAGGCCAAAGTGCAGAGTTTGTATCCTGGCTCTGCTACTTCTTAACTGCGTGACCTTGGGCAAGGGACTTAAGCTCCAGGTGTCTGTTTTTTTTCACTTGTAAAGTGGAGAGGGATAATAGCAGTACAGGCCTCTGAGTTAATACCTGTAAAACACTTCAAACATTACCTGGCATCTTCGGGGAGCTCAGAAAACATTAGCTGCTCATTTAGCTCAGCCTAAATAAGAGCTCAGGGTCTCTGCTCCGTTTGTCACTTTAGCCCCTTTTCTCGAGCCAGTTGCCTAGATTTCTTGCAGAGTCTCCTTCTGACTGCATTCTGGTCAATCTGGGAAGTCTCCTCTCTGACTTTGGGTTTCCCCTGAGCCACAGTCACTTTGCATGACTTTTCCTCCCAATCTCCTCACCCCTGCAATATAGCCCTCCTCAGGCTGGCAACCTCTTCTCTTCACCTCTGCCTCCCCAGCATGCCTTGCAAATAGCTCTGCTGACGACAGCTGCTCAAGAAAGAGTTTCTTTAGCTTCATAATGGTGGCTCTTGCTCTGTCCTAGGAAGGAGGTGGTTTTAGAACCCTTCTACCTCCAAGACCCTATTAGTACAGGCTTCTGCTGCTTCATATTTATTTGGCATTCTTTCATTTGATCTCCCGCCCAAATAATAATAATAAGTGAGCCACGAGTTGGGGTTATCCACCATCTTGCAAGGCCGGTCAGTCACTTTTTGGTTTAGAGAACCACCAGAATAGGCCGGGCACGGTGGCTCACGCCTGTAATTCCAGCACTTTGGGAGGCCAAGACAGCCGGATCATTTGAGGTCAGGAGCTGGAGACCAGCCTGGCCAGCATGGTGAAACCCCATCGCTACCCGAAATACAAAAATTAGCTGGATGTGGTGGTGTGCACCTATAATCCCAGCTGCTTGGGAAGCTGAGGCAGGAGAATCACTTGAACCTGGGAGGTGGAGGTTGCAGTGAGCGGAGATCGCACCACTGCACTCCATCTTGGGCAACAGAGTGAGACTCCGTTTCAAAAGAAAAAAAGAAAAAGAGAACTACTAGAATTAAGCCTCTACCAGCCTGCTGGAGGTGAGAGCTTCATTCTGCAAATGTTGAAATGTATGTCTTCGTACCCTAAATCCCAGTCTCCAGCTACCCAGAAAAGTCCTCGGCTGTGGGTTGTTTATGTTATTTTTTTAACTGTCATTAAGCCACATGCATTCCTGCTTATGTAATCATCCCAGAACTATATGAGTTAGCCTGGGAACTGCCACCAACATGCTGCTTGTACTTATTAGCTTTATAACTGATGACCAGGCCTCAGGATAATGACAGCTTTGCTGGCCCACAGTCACTCAATTTAATGTAACTGATTTCTCAAGAAACAAATGCATCTGCTAACTTTGTCTATATGAGTCAGTGGTATGGAGGCAGAGATCGGCTGAATCATAGGATTAAAAGAACCAAGCAAGGTCTAAACATTCCGTTCTGGGCCTCTTGGGTCATAGGTCAAACCTTGGTCCTGGAAAGTAGAATTTGATCGGCACAATGCTTTTCAAAGAATTAGATTTGAACACTTTTAAGAAACTCGTATATCCTCTAGTTTGCTACAATCTCCACTGTTCCCTTTTGTTTGACATTTGGTCTGCTTCATTCATTTATGTTGGCCTGCCTGGTCCCTGAAGCCATTGGGTTTACAGCTAAAAAGCTGAGTGCTTCCTCTAAAAATATGAAAACTAATTACAGAGACACAGAACCATGGAGTTTAGATCTGAAAGGGAAAAGGGAGTGTAATTAAAAAAAAAATTGTCGTCCCACATTTCCAAGTGGAGTCTGTGGGGCCAAGTAACGTGAAACCATCTGTGACCCATGAGTATCTGTTGACATGGTCTTTGTCATCCTGTTTTCTCAAAAGAGATAACTTCTCTGGAATTTTTGTTTTTCTTTTTTGAGATGGAGTCTCGTTCTGTTGCCCAGGCCTGGAGTGCAATGGTGCGGTCTTGGCTCACTGCAACCTCCGCCTCTAGCCTGGCTAGGCTAGTCTCAAACTCTTGACCTCAGGTGATCTGCCCACCTCGGAATTCTTTTGAGAAGCATAAAAGCTATAGATCTATAATAATCATGGTAGCATCATTTGTTAAGAATGTCAGATCCTGATACACAGAACTCACGTGCCAGCTGTCATCTGCCATGGTCTCAGCCTTGTCCCTGGCCAAACCTGAAGAACTTCTTCATCTGGAAGGGCTCACTCCCACCAAAGCATTGTAGCATTGTAGATTTTACTGAAGATCTTGGAATGGAGACAGAAAAAGGGACTGATGTCATAGTGGACTCAGTCTTTCTCTTAGGAATCTTCCCCAGATGTATATTCTCCTCCTAGTATCACTCCTCTGCCCACTACTGACCAGGTCTCTCTCGCCTGAGCCTTCTTTATGTTAGCCTCTCCAATCCCAGACTTCCACGTGCCTTCCCTGGGCTTTTCTGTCCTCTTTTCTTACGTTGAGCAACACAGCTTCTATCTCTTTCAATCCAGTTTCTATCTCTTTCTGCCACTTAATACTATCTTCATGTGTGAGGATGGAAATTTTGCTTGTGCTCTGCAAGTAAAAAATTCTTCAGTTCTCAGGACCTTTCTCTATAAATATGACAATGGAGGATTATAAATAACAGCAACAAAACAGTTTTGTTCCTCTAAACACACATGGTCTCTAATCCTCACTACAGATTTACAGTGAGATAGGTATTTTTTCTACCTCATAGAATTAAAAAAAAGAACAGAGATCAAGGAGGTCAAGTCACTTGGCCTGGGTCACACAGCTTGTAAGTGCTGCAGATAGAACTTACTCAGGCCTGACCTAAACTCCTTCTTTGCCATGTGGGGGCATTGGACGGCAGGTAGTAGTAGGACTGAGTTAATTGATCTGCTGGCATCAATTCTAGATGATTCTTCCCTTTAATCTCTATTGGGATCTAATAACTCAGAGGTGGTAATTTTGGTTAAACACTCTCTTATTTTTTTTTTGTTGTTTGTTTGTGTGTTTGTTTTTTGAGACAGTCTTGCTCTGTCACCCAGGCTAGAGTGCACAGTGCAGTGGCATGATCTCAGCCCACTGCAACCTCTGCCTCCCAGGTTCAAGTGATTCACCTGCCTCAGCCTCCCAAATAGCTGGGATTACAGGTGCCTGCCACTGCGCCCAACTAATTTTTGTATTTTTAGTAGAGACAGGGTTTCACCATCTTGGCCAGGATGGTCTCGAACTCCTGACCTCTTGATCCACCAGCCTCAGCCTACCAAAGTGCTGGCATTATTGGCGTGAGCCACTGTGCCCAGCCCCATAAACACCCTCTTTTTAAAGAGAATTCATCTTCAGGATGTTTTTCGATACTTAGAAAGAAACTCCTAATGAGGATACTTCTCCAACTTTTCTTTCTCCTTCTCATCTGAGCCTTATTATAATTCAAGCCTATACGTTGCTTCTGACAGTGGTCTCTTTTCTTTACTTCTTTAATTAGTACTGTCATTTTTAATCCACTGGAAAGAAGAACGGGAGATTGAATATCCCAACAGACATGTTATTCTGAAACTCCAATGGTGACAAATTCAAAAACTCATAATAAAGATTTGTTTTCCTATGCTATCCTATTAGCTCAGAGTAGAGAGACATAGGAATCTTTTCCTCTTTTGGGGGCTAATTCAGAGCCATTCGTGGTTATCACGCATAAGATGTTTTAAAACCGAGTTGTCAGGTTGTTAAATGTCTTTGCCATGGAGTGTTCCAGTAATTCAATCCCTCTGAGTTGCTCTGGGTGTCTTAAATGTTTTGATTGCAAATACAGGAGGGAAACTGCTGTCCTGAAGTCTCCCCTTAAATCTTCTTATGGATTAATTTGCTGTGTGGCCTGAAATAGGTCAAAAGGTTTTGGCTCAGGAGTAGAATTCTAGAAATAATCACCCTATAGACACTCTAAATCAATCATAATTAATGCACTTGCCCAGTCCTGTCAGCTGATTGCTGCTAGAGGGTGAAATAAAGAGACCCTTTCTAATACAATTTGAAAAGAGATCAAATCTGTCATTTCATCTAATAATTGAGCCAAATGAGAAAAGAGAAGGGTCAAAGTTCACTGGATGACCTTATGTAAACCCAATAATGCATAATTCATTTCCTTTTTATGGAATTTATAAGCTTCTGTAAATGGACAGGACAGAATCATCTGCCCTCCCTGGCTTCTCCCAAACTCTCCTTGCTTCTCCTAAAATGCCTTGTAGAGCTGCCCAAACTTTTCAGTGGCATATTCTGGCTGCATAATCCCCAAACCTTCAATACGGGCCGGCGTTTAATTCATTCTTCCAAGCGTGTGAAGTTAATAACTGAATAAATCACTGGCAGCTCTCTCTGAATGATATAAAACCTGTAATTTATTTATTGAGTGTTGCAAATACAGTTACAACATGTTTTCATGCAAAATGCTTTCCCTCTTTTTAATATTATCCAGAGAAAGAATCTGGGTTTTGAGTTCTGGAAATGGAGTTTGGAAGACAGCATGTTTGTGGATTATGTTCCGTTCTTTCCTGGTGTAGCGATGTTAGGAAACTGGGTCTCTTCCCAGCTTTGGCACCATTTGGAATGAGGCGAGGGGAGACAGAAGGAAAGTGTGTTTCAGGAAACCTTCTAGCCACTGCTGGGGCTCCCCCAAGCATCTGTACTCAAGTTTACCAAAGCTCTGAACTGCGTGTGAACAAAACTCTTCTTTTAAATGCACATAGTCAGAGTTCTTGTCTCAAGACTTCTTGATAGGCCGGGTGCAGAGGCTCGTGCCTGTAATCCCAGCACTTTGGGAGGCCGAGGCATGCGATCACTTAAGGTCAGGAGCTCAACACCAGCCTGGCCAACATGGTGAAACCCCACCTCTACTAAAAATACAAAAAATTAGCCGGGTGTGGTGGTGTGCACCTATAATCCCAGCTACTTGCCAGGCTGAGGTGGGGGAATCATTAGAACCCAGCAGGCAGAGGTTGCAGTAAGCCCAGATTACACCACTGCACTCTGGCCTGGGAGACAGAGCAAGATGCCGTCTCAACACAAACAAACAAAACAACAAAAACTTGATAGCAGCCAGCCAATTATTTTTTTTACAAAACAAAACAAAAAAAGTTCATTTCATCAGATGGCACCATTAAAGTAGCTATGCATTTGATTTTTGTGTGTGATGTATGAAGGGATCGTATACTTCTCTCTAATGAAGTCAGCCCAAGATGCCTCCAAAACTTCTAGCCGCTATTGCATGTTCTTTTCACAGTTACCACATTGGACTGTTTAACTGAAGCCCTTCAGATTGGATGGAGAGAATCCCAGGCACCCAGCCACCCATCCACTCAGCGTGCTACGTGGCACTCACGACATTCACAAAACTTTTTTTTTTTTTTTTATCTGTTGCTCAAGTCTTCCAAAACGCTGTTTATTTATTTGCTGCTTTTGTATTGCATATTCCTTTGCACCACTATGAGGATAAGCTTTCTAAAATACGGAAGTGATCTTGTCAGTTCCTGTTGTTGGAAACTTCCGTGTACTGTGAAAGGACAAGTCTAAATTGGCTCCATCATTCCAGAGAATGCTTTGTTTGACATTATGTAACAAAATTGAAATTTTACTGATTCATTGACTTTCAAAGTTCCACTTTTCATAATTTGCTCTAAATAAATTATGAAAAACTGATAAATATGGATAAATATATATATACTTACATATGATGTTAATTGTAATTTTAGAAATAACCTAAAGTCTCATTATTAGGAGATTGTTAAGTAAATTATGATAGTTGTAAATTAAAGGAATACCCTACAGACATTAAAAATGACGTCCTCAACCACATGGAAAGAAATTACGGACATGTCTTTAAGGAAAAATGCATGTCTGCATGTCATAATACAGCCTGAGAAGTATGATCCTATTTTGCTTTTAGAATATCTTTCTTAATAAGTAGAGAAGAAAAAAATGAGTACTTTGTAGTTTATCATAAACAAATGTCACAACATTGGCAAGAATGGGAAAATGACACACGCTAAGAAGAAACCTGGTTTATAACTGGAGTAGCATTCCAATCTGTGGGGTGGATGATGGGATCAAAAAATAAATGATGTTAGGATATTTGACAATCCATAAAGAATCCATGATGAAAAACGCTATAGAAAAGTCCAGATTTCAAATTTTGAAACCTTAGCCTGAAAAGTCTATTTATTCTGTATATATTATGTGTATATGTGCATATGCACACACATATGCAGATAAAATACATATACATACAGATTGATTTGCCAACATGTAATTAAAATTTTTAATATGACATAAAACAGCACAAGCAAAGTTAAAAGACAAGCCGAAGACCAGGATAATATATTTTCAATAAATATCACCAATGGATGATATATAAAATCCTAAGATAAAAGAAACAACTCAATAGATGAACAAATCATGAAAGACGTACTGGCAATTCACAGAAGAGAAAATTCAAAAGACCCATGAACTCATGAAAAGACATTCAGCATCCTTAGTAATAAAGGGAATGCACATTTTTGAAAATAGCAAAGTTAGTGAAGTCTGCCAGTGTCAAGTGCTGGGAAATATATGGAGAAATGGGAACTCTTAAACATTGCTGATGGAATTTGCTTCACATTAGACAGCAATCTGGAAACAGCCATCGAAGTTAAGTATGTACTACAACCCAACAGTTCCATTTGCTGGTGCACATGTTAAAGAGATTCATTAGGTGTACAGCACAAGGAGACAAGAAAGAAGATGTTCATAGTTGGGGAGAGCAAAAAAATGAACAATCTACATGCCCATGGATAGTGCACTAGATATATAGCAGTGGTATTTACACTATAAAGATACAATCGTTGGGGCAGACCCTTCAGGTTCAAATCCAGGTCCCACCGTTTGCTAATAGTACAACCAAGGACATTACCAAACTGCTCTGTGCTTTACTTTCCTCATCTGTAAAATGGGAACAATAATAGCATAGGATGAATGTATCTTAATGAAGAACAAAAGGTTAATGTGTAAAGTATTTAGAACAGTCTCTGGTACATAGTATCACATGTGATTTACTATTGTTATTATAATAGAATAATCAAAGTAAAAATAAAAATCCTAGGTCTTCATGCAACCACATTGTTAAATATCAGAACTTAGTGTTGAGAAGAAAAAGCAAGTTGTAAAATGATATGTGTTGCATGGTACCTTATGAAAACATCTATGCCATCTTTAAAAAAGTACATAAAGCAATATTATTTGTTGCTATGACAATACTGATGAAAGAGAAGTATCAGAATATTCACAGAGAAATTTAATCTGTGCTCAGTTCTGGAAAGAAATGGGCTAAATCAGGAAAGGGTGCTGCTTTAAGTATATCTATGTTGTTTTACTTTAAAAAAGAGAGATCTGAAGCGAAAAAAACCTAGTAGTGATTATAAAATTTCAGTGGTGAATATACAGGAGTCTGTTATGTTATTTTCCAAACTTTGTTTAAAGTTGAATGCTTTTATTTTGAAATAATTCTAGAGCCACATTCAGTTATAAGAAATAATACAGAGATATCCCATATTCTCTTTTGAAATTGGCTTCATTCACCCAACATATTGCCCTAGAAACATATCCAGCTTGTTGCATCTATAAATAGTACATTCTGATTGTTGAGTAGAGCTGCATAGTATGGATATACCACATTTAGTTTCACCATTCACCTGTTGAAGGATAATTAGGTTGCTTTCAGTTTGGGCATGTTATAAACAAAGCTGCTATAAACATTTGCGTACAGGTGTGTGTAAACAGTAGTGTTAATCTCAGATGAATGCACAGGAATGCAATTGCTAGACCCTATGGTGATTGCATGTTTTGTTCTTAAGGAAATAAACTGTTTTTCAGATTGGCTGTGCCATTTCACATCCCCACCAGCAATGTATGAATGGCCTAGTTTCTCTGTATCCTCACTAGCATTTAGTGTTGTCATCCTTTTAATTGTA